TCATGGCCGCTGGGCCGAGTATTGCCATCGCATACCCGAGGCCAAGTTTTACTCCACCAGAAACCTTCACGAATGCGCCGTACCATCGCCTCTCGTTAGCCGAGTAAGCGAAGTCTCGCACAAGGATTGCGTTGAACAGAACACCGAGGGAAAAGATGTCTGCTTTCTCCGTATAGTGACATGTGAAAACCTCAGGAGCCATCCAATGAGCAGGGCCGGTCCCTGACTGCATGTAATATTGCGCCAACCCACAGTTTGAAGCCGACAGTGTTTCTACTCTTTTCAACGCAAGAAACTCTCTCGCTAAACCAAAATCACCAAGTTTTAAGTCCTCTCTTGTTGAGTCTGTCAGCATTACGTTGTCTGGTTTAACATCACGATGAACAATCTGAAGCGAGTGCAAATAGCTCAGCGCACTCGCTATTTGGCTAAGCCATTTAAGAGTTTTCTCCTCGCTGCTTGGTTGCGACAGCCTGTCGTTTAAATTCCCACCAGAACAGTATTCGGTTAAGATCAGCACGTGAAATCCACCGCGTGAGTCTTCATACTGGTCGGCAGCTATAATTTTCACAATAAAATCGTGCTTCACACGACGAAGCGTTTCCACTTCGCTGATTGCTTTGCCAATTGAAGCCGAATTCGAACACACTACATCTTTCAATGCATAAAAGACAGTTTCACTCGCAAGTAAGTCTCTTGCCTTGAAGACCACGCCAAAAGCTCCGCTACCAAGCTTATTTTGTATCTCGAGTTCGATCCCTTCTACGACAAGAACCTGACCGACAGGGAACGAGGACACAATGCGAGAAGACATAGTTTTGTTTCAGGCACTTGACTGCGTGCGAAATGTTCTAAAACCATTGAAAAATTCAATATCGCCTAAGAAGTTTATTATTAGTTAATCCAATATAACAGGCCTGTTTATTTCGAACACAAAAGAGATATTTAACTTCGCTGTTGAAAAGCAGAAGTAATATCACCGGTGTTTAAGAAAAATCAAGGAAAAGGTGTTACGAACCACAAACAAAGCACATGGAAAGTTACTTTACCAAAAATACACTCAGGAAACTTTCATTCGTTTTCTAAAACTGAATAAATTTCACAAAACTTAACATGCATGTTACATAATTTTTTAAGATAAATCAACATTGCAAAATAATAAAGAATTTGGTAAATTCGGAAAACAATCCTTAACAAAATTACAATTTCGACTACGTTTTCGATTCTGCCCAATTCAACATCGTTATGTGACGCTCTTGAAAAATCGCTTGAATATATGCAATATTAAGAGTGAAAACCTAAAATAATAAAAGCATAAGCTAAATTTTTCTATCATCTTTAAAGCTTTAACAAGATAGTGCGATTTACTAAAGCTTTTTCTTGTAATTTACATTACAAATAGTCTCCAAACGCTCCTCATTTCCTAACTGGTACCCAAGGCATCAGCGCGCGAATTTCAAGAAGACTGGTGCTACTCGCGCGGGAATTACAATGTGACGTCACCTTGGAAACAACAGGGCAGATTTGAGCAAGACTGAGCCGGCAAACGCATAAAATGTCTAAGCCACGAGGTACTCTTACGGCCGTTAAAATTACGATCTAAATCTTAATCTTGTTACATTATTTGGGATTTTCTAGCGTCGATTTGCGTCAGATATACTAAAGTTCTAATTTCTTTACGTCAGGTGGTGAAGTCCGATGTCAAACAACTCACGTGCGATCACAACAAGATCTTTCAACATTGCTATAAATTCAAATAACGTACACGCGATTTTCATCACTCACGAGATTATGTTTCGTTAGTGACACAAGAAAAATGATTCCTTCCGTCGAAGTACGTTCAAAACAAAGAATCAACCCACGCAATTTGACAAGCCATGTGCGTTTGCGGGTGTCACATTGAAGGACCATCATTTAAATCGCCTCTGATCACTGTCTCGGATTTTCATTCCACTTCTACTTCAATATTTATTTCGTGAAATACGGATCACTTCAAGTGATTCCATTCATATGATAACTTTTAGAGACAGCCTATCAAGGAAAAAAACCCTGCCGAGTTAATCATATTCTAAACAGGTTCCATGAACTCTAATTATAGGCCTCACACAATCTGTAAAGCTTACAAACACGCATAAGACGATCTTTTATTTAAAAATTTTTTGGTAATTTTCCCGCCGAATAAAACAGACTAAACCGTGACCTTTTAAGGTAAAAACTAAGTTCAAGTTTTTTACATAAATTGTTTACGAACAATCAATTCCTTTTGGTACCGGAGCGGGTTAAACGCTGACTCACGCTGTTGAAAAATCGCTTAAAATGGCTATAATTAAAAGGAGGGAGACGAATGAATTAATGTTATTGTCTACGTTATGTTAGTATTTCCATTTTTTTTTACTTATTCTTGGGAAATTGCTCCATTTCGTTTACGGTAATTCAAATTATACAAGGAGTCTCCTAATTCGGGAAAATGACGAAATTATTGCAACAACATTGTTGCATTAATAACAAACTAGTTTGATTTCTCTTGCACTTGAAACAAATAATTTTCACAGGTCAATGTCAGCTTTCAAAATCCCTCAGACTTTACAAAAATGCCACTCATTGCGGCCAAGAAGACAATTTACAATCTCTTGTCACGATTTAGAGCTAAATTGCTATGTTTTGTTTGGGGATGACGCGGTGAATTTTGACAACCACAAAGCACTTTAAACATGAATGAAATTCAATTTAACTCAGTGTAACGGATCGAGTTCATTTGAATAATATGATTATTGTATCACGGCTATATTTAAAACTGCCGTCCACGAACAGACAATTAGAGGGTACAGTTATGTAGAGGGTATATCCAATCATTGCTATTGACAATTAGTAAGTTGGAAAGGTAAACGCATTTCATGGTGACGTGTCAGATTTTTACGCTCTATAGATCACAAAGCAAAATCTACGCTTTTGTTTTGATTTTCACCAGATCGATCGTGCTAGTCTATGGAAGGTCTAAAAATTACTCCCTTTCATTTACGCTCGTCGTCAAAAACCTTGCAAGTATCTGGTTTTAACCACATAGAAAACAATGACCTTGTTTCAGATTAAACACACTTTTTCAGAAGCTTGATTCGACGTAAAATAAATGTTGGATAATACAAATATCGTTATGAGCTACAAACAAAGTTCAGCTCTTGCTTTGTTTCATTCGATCCGAAATGAAGTCAAAATTTACTAGCCATATTGTTGAATCGCCAGAAATAAAAAATTCCGCATAATTTAAGAGTTTTTCGTGCAATAAACCAAAAGCCTGGTCGACTTGACGAAAACTTGTCACGATAGCTAGTAGGGGATTCCCCGTTCGTCATCGACCCTCAACGTCGTCTTGACAACCGCCCGGACATGTCCCTCGTTACGGCCTGTGATTGGTCAGATAACGATCAACTTTTTTTTGGAAACATGACATCATCAAATAAATAAATGTTGCGAGCAAGCATGGTGCAATCATGAACCCCTCTTACACTGGTTTTAACCGGTCGTTTGGGTGAAAGCACCTCACTTTATCTCCAGTAATCGAAGTGAAAGCACGTGTTTTGATTAAGTCGTCACTTTATACCCGCGAACAAATTTCAGTCCTCCATCTTATCTTCTATTTCGAAGGCTTCGACGCTGATTCAAAGTAAATCAAGCACTGTCAGTACACAGGTGATCCTGTTGTTTCGTTCTCATCTGATTTGAAAGCCGCTCATCCCATAGAATTTTACACTCGCCAATAACTGTCTTACCAAGATGATGCCTACGAACGACAGCAACGATATCTCAAAGCTGAGTTTCACTGGCGATTCATTTTTGAGCGACCTTGATCTCTCGAATTTAGAGCAGATCCAGCAGTTCTGGTTTATTCCTGCAGAGGGAAAGGAGGAACCCGCGCAAAGTGTTCCAGACACCACCCTGGACTTAGATGAAATGCCCGCCTGGCTGAGCGAGACTTATTCATCGCGCAATTTTCCAGAGGACGATGTAGCCTCAGAGATATCAAATCCAAGCCCATCTCCATCTGAGTGCAGTTCTACGAGCACAGGATACTTTTTCAGCACTGAAATGAGCGCTAAAGAAGCTCTGTTTACAGAGAAAGAGCTACGAGAGCTCTCTGTCAAAGAAATCAACAATCTTTTGAGAAGCAGAGGGCTTTCGAAGGAAGAAATCGCTCGGGTAAAACAAAGGCGAAGGACATTGAAAAACCGAGGCTATGCCCAGCATTCAAGGATGCGAAGAATCGAGACCAAGAATAACTTGGAAGTCGAGCGAGACAGTCTTCAAAAAGAGCTAGAAGGCCTAAAACAACAGGTAGCTACAGCTCTCCGAGAGCGAGACTTCTTCAAGAACAAATATGTAAAGCTCCTGTCACATGTAACGAAGCTGCCAGGAAAGGTACTGAAGATCAATCCATTGGAAAAGTGAACTCAGGGACTTAGGAAAACTTGAATTCAAATACTTTGGACACGTACAAGTGCTTGCTCCGAAAGCATTGGGTCATGATCGACAACGAGTTTGACTGTTCACCAGACAAATTAAGTTTTCTTAGCAATATCCTAGCTTTGAACCCGTGAATTTAACATTGATGTTTTCTTGTTGTTATCTTAGAGAGTTTTTTAGCCTTCCTTGGCAATTTAGCTCGATAGTTAATGAGATGGTTTGAAACTACCAAAACGTCGAAGAACGTTTTCGAATGTTGCGTGACGTAATGAGTTATTTTTATTTATGAAGTAAGCCGCTGACATAGGCCAATCTAATGTACGGGCGGCTTGTGTACATAAATGGTTATTCTTTCTAGACCAATACAAAAGAAGGAAGGAAAACAAAATCCCAACAAAACAAAAAATACAGAAATAACATTTGAAAAAAATGTTGGAAATGTTATCTAATTAAAAAAAAAAAAAGATGTAACTAGTTTCATTGTATACCCTCCACAAGTTGATGTGAATTTTTGGCAATATTAAGGGAAGTATTTTTTTCAGTACCTCAGCCAAAGCAACAGTTTTTGTCAAGTAGTGTATAGTGAAAAAAAAGGAAAAACATTTTTTGATATGTTATGTAAATACATTAACAAATTGGACAGGCTGCTATGACAGTCAGACTCTAGTTTTTCCATTACCTGGTAGTGAAGAAACATTTTCTAAGATTCTTTGGTGTTTTGTCTAAAGCTGTGTAACATTTTATGTTGAAATAAAATCCATGTTGTAACTTATCCTTTTGACTTTATGTTATTGTTATAACTTAACCCTTCACATTCTAACATCAGAATACATATTCTCCAAGCTGTTCTCTGTATATTTTTCCTAAGGTGCATGCAAGGAGAAATTATGTAAAAATCAAGAACTTCTTGATTTGGTGATCAATTTCTTAATTCTCATGACCTTAATGAGAAATTCTGGGGTGATATTGGAAGGAGAAATCAGATGCTGGTCACCCTTAGAGGCTAAAAGATTAACACCTTCAAACCTTCAAAGATCCAAATATAAATTTCCCACACATTTTGCTATTTATTTATTACCGACAATACTTGCTTTAAGAACTTCACTCCATTTCAACAGCATCTTATTATTGATATTTTTCTATCTCATTATCTTTCTCATTAAAAAAGATGATTTATGTTGTATGAAAAAAATTCCCTTTTGATCACAACTGGAAGCAGAAGTCCTAACATTCTGATCTCGGACCCCATTTCCAATAAACTAAAAAGTTATGGAAATCATCAGCTCATTTTTGTGAGTACTGACAACCAAAGATCTCAAATTCACATCACTTTACTCTTTACCACATATTTCTTGTGTTAGTGCTGAGAATTTAGTGCTCAATCAAACACCATCTCTGAGAAAAGGATATCTCATAGTCTCTGCACATCTTCCAGCTGTCTGGGACAATGTATTTAAAATGCAAAGAAAATAGCCTATATCGATACTGTTGAGTAATTGTTTTTGTAAATATAAGCTTTTGGAAATCCCCAGACTGCTTAGTCATGCTGACATGCATATCATAGAATATTTTACAGCATTTCATCAAGTCACGCATTTATTATGTAATACTACTAAAATATCTCTTTTGTAAACTTCTCGAAGGTTCCAGAACACTTTGAGAACACACATAAAGACTCACTTATATGTAGTAGGAGTAGTTGTTGCTGACAGGAGCAACAACTGTTTTGAAAGCTATGCCAAGAGAGAGTTACTGCAGAAGATTTCTCATATTTTCAAGAAACTTTGGAGATGGCTGTGAGATTGTGTCAATGGTGAGCTAGGATATAGACTGTGTTGGGCTTAATTAAGTTTATCAATGATAAGTATTTTACTGCTTTAAGGAGTTGCTCCTAGTTGAGAACATTACTCACTGTTTAATAAAGTAGTTGAGTTTGTGGGGATGTGATGTTTTTATGTTGGTTAGATTATACCATAAAATTACAATACTTGGATGGTATTTTGGCTACTCCTAGGAGTTAAAGGATTATTGGTTGCTATGCTTAAAAATCTTGCTTTTACAGATGTTTGACACTTTTTGGATATTTTGATCTTGTAAAAGTTACCTTTTCGCATCAGAATCAAAGTAAACCATATTACATATTATTGAGCTTTAGGCAAATCTGTGTTATTGTAGTCTCTGAATACTCTCTGTACAAGTTCTCTGAGCTTAAAAAATAAGATTAATTAACAATCAGATTGATAAAGGGTCAAATTAAACCTCATCAGATACTGATTTTGCAATAAATTTATTAAACAGTCATCACAAACTACCTGACTGTCCTTCCTTACTTTAATATTCCATCAAATTATTTTCTGTTACCTATAATTTACCACTGACAATGATTGGCAACTCAAGGAAGGGTACTTATTCAAAAAAGGGCACTTATCAGGGACAGGGTGCTTACTTTTTTCCAGAAACAGCAGAATGTGCAAAACAAAGCTTTGATGCTTCTTTGAAGAGGATCAAGAAGACTGGAAAACAGACTTGTTGCCTTCCTCACTAGAACAATCAAATTTTAAGAGGAGATCAATCATTTGAAGGAACTGTGCACTCAAATGGAAATTTTTTTTGGACATAATAGTTGAGAGACTAAGACATGGACCACTGTTTTTATAATCATGAGTCTTAAGTTAAAAATTGAAGAAGATGAACCACAATTGATCTCAATGTACATGTCTTGTAGCAGTAATCTACCTCTGGAATATAATAGGGTCACTTATTAGGGGCGCTTAATGGAATGAGAGTGCTTATATAGGCGGGCTAATTAGAATGGGGGCAATTATTCACAAAAACCAAATTCAAGAGGGGGGGCTTATCGGAGAGGGGGCTTTTATTGAAAGGAGCAGCGCTAAATTGAATCATTATGGCATGTGTGACTGTTCAGTCTGAAAACTGAACAAATTATTTTCTAAATCAAATGAGATCTGGCTTGGAATTTTGTATGATGATTGTACTAGCAAGGATAAATACGGCCAAACATGATGACAGCTTAATTGATCTCAGAGGCATTTCATTTCTACTTCAGATCAAATCAAACTTTCTCCTTAACTAACATCTTGATTGTTTACTGTGGGGCTTTTATAATTACAAGCTCACACAAATTGCCTGACCCTTTGGCCCCTAAGAGTGACCAGCAACTAATTTCTCTTAACAGCATTTAACCCCTGAATCACACAATTTAATGATTAAGGTCATGAAAATAAAGGAAATGATCACCAACCAAAGAAGCCATTGACTGTTAAACAAATTCTTCTTGTTAGCACCTTAAGAAATGTATGGAGAACAGTAAGGAGAACATGCATACTGATATTAGGGTGGAAAGGGTTATAATTGCAGACATAACAGAGTGAGATAGGAATTTTATTTTAGCAAAAATTATTTACTGCAGAGTGATTTTAGTGATACCTTTGCCACAGACTGTAAACTGAAGTCATACTCTAGCAAGACTTGCAAACAAAAGTCAAAAAATGATCAGATGTTTCCATGATATTCATAATGAAATGGGATAGTGATGTGGAAATTGATTAAAGGTTTTTACAAGTTATGACTGCATGGTGTATTAAGAGACTTTACAGTACTGCAGTTCAAGGAATTTGGTATTAAGTCAAACCATTTCTTTGGAGAGAATGCAAGTGTATTTAATACTGTAAAGCAAAATTAATCTATAGTGACTCCTGAAAGTTAAATGGTCAAAAAACACGTCATAAATGGTATGAGAAAATGTTAAAATTGTCACTACCCTTTACTACCCTATGGTAATGCCGCTTGTGCATTTCTCTCAAATTTAGTATTGCATGTTACTGTTTTTCATAGTGGTGTTGTTTGTTTTTCTTATCCCTCTGCTCTCTTTAGTTTCAACTTACAATTGTTTCCATCATCGTAACCTTAAAAGTTCTACCTAGGTCAGGTATTCATATAAAGAAAGCATGCAAGCCCATAAACCACCAGCCTGCAATATGCCATCTCAACCATGGATAGCTGCCATGGATTGAAGACTCCAAGATAACTTTGCTCATAATACATCAAATACTTTTCCTTTGGCACATGCAATTGGTCTTAATGCATCACATGACCATTGATTCCACAGCTAAAACTAGAGAACAGATCCAAGGAGAAACCCTAGGTGATTTTGCCCAATTTTCAGACCCCATGTCTACTTAAATAATAGGTCAATCTTCATTAAAATTTTAATTCAAGATGAGCGAGTGCTTTGAGGTTGTAACAGAAGAAGACTTTTTTTTTGTTTATAAAGTTGTACCTGCAGAGAACACTACAAAGTGAACGTCCCATAGAGCCAACATTAAGCAGTTTGTAAACATTTTTTCGTAAAACGTGTTACAAAATTTTTTTACAATATGCTTGTACATTTGTCCTTAGACATTATCTGTTCCTCAAGGCTCACAGTATACCACAAGCATCCCTCTCAGAAAACTGTTCGCATCCTGAAACTGGTAATCCGCAGACAAATATCTGTGCATATTTTTGCGCCAAATGGAGGCTATTGTTGGATCCCAGTCAGCAAGGCTGCTTTTGGACACTCAGATGCTTCTATATTTATTCTCAAGGGGTACCACGATTATTTCAGAACTCTGACCCCCTCTCCACCACCCGACCCACAAAGGTGATCGATATGCCTGCAACGTCGCAATCGACGGCTATACGATCGAGGGTCTCACTCTTTCGTAGGCAGCAAATCAACTTTTCCATGTCAACGGATTGTGTATGTAGTCATTAAAAGACTACATTTTAGAATTTTCTCAGATTCGGTCTTTTCGAATTAGTATCTTTTAAAGTTCGCCCCAAGTTGATTCCTTTGAGCTTTATGTTCCGGGAGATCGACGTTCGAAAACTACATCACACAAGAAATGTATATACAAACATTCTTACTATTCTTCAATAACTGCTAACAGGTTGCGGGTGAAATGGGGACTGGCTAAGGTCGTCCCTAAATTTGTTGGAGATAGAACTATGCAAAAAATGCAAAACATCGAAGTGAATGGAAGGTTTATGAATTATAATCTTGGAATTGGCAGGTTCATTATGTAATACAGTTAAACGGGCATCCATGCAACCGCTCCGTTTAAACTTTCACACTCCTTTCACTGTGCCAAAAACTAGCGAAAACCTCAGGTAACATACAGAAGTTTACCTTCTTCAGTCTGTAGGTTTCCATAAGAGCAGAGATTGTAGACACTGCTGCAGCACTAACTCACAGAACATAACAAAGCTCGTCTATTGGTCTAGCGCAGTCAACTTTCCCCCTGCGTGATTTCGGCAATTCCTATTCACAACCAAGCTATCGACCGAGAGAGGACCGGGGTAAAAGAATTATGAAAAAAAAATCTGGATAAATGTGCAATGATCATTGGAAATCAGTGAGACAATACAAAACCAAATTTACCTATTTAAATAAACCAAGAGAGAAAAAGAGAGAGAGAGAGACCGCATCCCAAGTACCGTAATTGAAACTCGAATGAAACTCTTCCGGGCGAGCGCTATAGTGTCTCATACGTTTCAAAACCTATGCTAAAGTGCGTGGTGACGCTGGCGTCTTTCCTCTTTCCTCTGGTTTCACCCCTTCACCTAACCTGTACTGAAGTGATTTGTTAATTTATTAAAAGAAGAAATGCAAAAATCTATCAGTGAAATAGCTTAGACTGCAAGAGGATCGACGGAAACCAACGCCTCGATAGATGGATGCAAAGTGACATCAGATAAACCAACCCCTCC